CCAGGGCTCTGGAGAGGAAACGTTATCAATGTTTGTTCACTGGTTTGTGTCGGTCGACGGAGCGGTGGTTGTAAACATTAAAGTCTTCATCTTTTTCTGCATGGGATAGGTGCAAAATTGCCTGTGATGTCTGGTAGGAGAGATGCAATGATCCAAACAAAATACATTTGCATTACCTGAAGGAAATGCCGGTGCTAAAGTGTTAAAAGTAAGCTGTTGAAAAGTTTTAATAAGACCTGTTCAAAAAAAGATTTCTGTTAATCTAGTTTAAAGGGCCATTTTGGTCTAGGACTAGGCTTAAAACTCTGTCTGAGAAACCGCCCCTAAGTAATTTCAACTTAAATTACATTAAACAAATAAAAAAATTAAAAAAAGGAGTAGTTCACTTTGCTGATAATTTACTCACCCCCATGTCCCCATGTCATCATAGATGTCCATGTCTTTCTTTCTTCGGTCGAAAAGAAATGGTTTTTGATGAAAACATTCCAGGATTTTTCTCCATATAATGGACCTCATTGGGAAACAAACGGTTCAAGGTCCAAAAGACAGTTTCAGTGCAAACTGCAAACTGTTCAAAGGGCTTTAAACAATTCCTGATGATGAATAAGGGTCTTATCAAGCAAAACGAACAAAATAAATACATTTTTTTTTAGCTTTTATAAGCTCAAATTTGCGTTCGTGTTTCTCCTGTTCGAACTCGTTCATCAAAATGAACGAATCTTTTCCTGATTCAATTCGTTCATTTCGTTCGTTGAATGAACCAAATGACACGAAAAAAGATTTGTTCATTTTGATAAACGAGTTCGAACAGGAGAGTCACGAACGCGCATCACAGAACAGAGCAAGGCGAGCATTTGAGCTTATAAAACTTAAACTTTGTTATTTGTTTTTAAATGAGCGATCGTTTCGCTTGATAAGACCCCTATTCATCGTCTGGAATCGTTTAAAGCCCTTTGAATAGTTTGCACTGAAACTGTCTTTTGGACCTTGAACTGTTTGGTTACCAGTAAAGTCCATTATATGGAGAAAAATCATGGAATGTTTTCATCAAAAACCTTCATTTCTTTTTGACTAAAGGAAAAATGACGTGGACATCTTGGATGACATGGGGGTGAGTAAACTTTAAAGCAATGTAAACACATATGTTGTCATAACTTATTGATAATATATTTTTTTCAGTGTACATATGCAAGGTTTGGAATTGTAAAAATGACTATGTTTAGATGGAATACAAACATAAATAGGCTGCACAATAAATACTGCATACTATTTTTTTTTTAAGTGAAGTGAAGTAGACATTATTCCACAAATAATAGTTCAGATTACAATAATGCACGTGACCTCAATCAACAAGCATGTCAAACCGTGTAAAATTAAAAATATTTAATTAATTTGGAATTTTTATTCAATTTTAAGTGCTATTTGTTTCAGGTATATAGGCCAACATACTGTACATTTACATATAATTATTAAAGAAAATACTAAGTTAAATTACAGCAGCTTTAAAAGAGATATACTTTTGTATTCTTAAAATTATTTCCCCATGGCTGTTCATTATATACTAAACTAAAAAAGGGGGTGGGAAAGGGGGGTTGGGGTGTAAGAAATCATTTCGAGCTCAACTTTCAGAAGTAATATCTGAAAACCGATAACATAGACCCCCAGAGCTTTCATCGATTGTTTTATCTTATTAGTTTTATTATAACTTTTGTAGAAAGGCACACACTGATGTGAGAAAGACTGAGGATTTCTCTAAAATCTGATCTCTGAGGACAAATTCTACTGTTCCAAATATATGTCAGAGAAGGGAAAAACGAATAATATGAAGTCTTAAATCATGATACTCGAGAGTATAATAGCAAAGACATAAAAACAGTCTATGAACAATAAAACATTGATGCATGGTGTACACGTTGTCCTTGAATTCAACAGAATTCAACAAACCATGATTATTAAAAAAAAAATATCATATTCAGTAAAAATTAAATAGCATTAACCACTCTCCTGTGACATTTGGTAACATACTGAAGTGTTATTTCCATGCCATCTGGACATTTCATTTGTTAATGGAGGATTTGTCTTAATCTGACAGATGGGCAATTCACTATGAACACTAAACAATTTCAGAAAGGAGTATCACGCATTCATTTCTCTGAAAATATTACTGTGGAGTAAACTGTACTCGATATGTGACAGTAGAGGGGTACTCAAAGCTGTTTCCAGCTGTTTAAACATAGTTGCTTTGCGCCCTGTTTAAATAGACATGAAATATAACTTATTTAATTCCTTGCACATTCTGGTGGAACATTCTAGAAAGTACCAGGAAAAAACAATGATTGCATTGTTTGTTTGGACAGGCTGCATGCATTGTTTAGTTTGGCTAAAAGAGTGATAATTAATTCAATACAAATGGTTTAACAGGGAATGTGGGGGAATTTTATTTTTTTTTTCGAGCTAAAATATTAAGTGCAAAACCGACACGGTTCAAACCAAAACAAAAACAGGTTAGGGATGATGTACAGCTCCGATTCCCTAAAAGACATCCTTTCAAAACCTCAATATGCAAACCTCAGCCTTTATGTTCCATCATCCCATTGCAGTTTATACGATTTTCATCCTCCCTCTCTCAGCCTCTCTTAGAGAAAATAAGATTGCTTTCTCACTCATTTATCTGAAGCCCATCAACAGCCAAAGGGTGAAGTGCTTCATCCAAAATAGATGCATTAGTGTTTTAAGATGCTGAGGGACAGATCAGCCGTCTCAAATTGATCTGCAGAACTTTTCCAGAAAATATACAAATAATTTATCATGAAATTGTGTGTTATTTCGCAAGTGCTTTAAGACTGAGCCTTGAACTCATGTAATGGCCTTTTTTCTTTTCTATGAGCTTTTGATTTCTTTAAAGTGGTCATATTAGGGGAGCATTGATTAACTGAATGAGTCAACAAAAGGCCTCTAATACAGTGAAATGATGATGTCTGTTCGAAGTTTCCACAAACAGAGCTAAAGTAGCCCAACTCCAGCAATATAAAACCCCATGTAACCTTTAAGTCTACTAAGTATTTTTTCTTATTGTCCACCAGAAAAACCTTTTATATATCCATTTCTTTGTTCTGTGCAACACAAAAAAATCTCAGTGTTTTTTGTCAATGAAAGTCAATGAGGTTCCATGTTGTTTTGGACCCCAATGACTTTAATCGTACGGGCATTAGTATCAAACAAACCCTTAATCCACGAAAAATAATTGGTATGTGTTTCAGAAGAAAAAGTTGAGTTGTGCAAATCAAACTAGGCCTAGAAGAAAGTTTCTTTCTTTAAGAATCAGATCAGATCTGTATTGAGATTAAAAATAAATATACGAACTATAAGCGATTAAAAATGGATGTGAGGAAAAGTCATGAGAACTCAAAATGAAATGGATAGATGGGTGTTCAAATGAGAAAGAGTAGTACAAGGCCTATATCACTGGCCCTCATTGCTTTATTTAATATGGAGAAAGCACTGGTACAATCAAACTTGGATTACCCTGTACTCTATGAAAGTTTTGTTCAAGAGCGTTTAGTTTAAGAAGTTTTAATGACCCCTTTTGATGGAGATAAAATTCTTCACGGAGCAAATTTCTCCATGATAATGTCTTCGATTGTCATTGCAGGGTGGGTTATGTGGGAGATTTTCAGTGTGGGCTGACAGATATGGCTTTTAATATCTTTCATCCTTTTAAAATTCTACAAACCCGCTATTAAAGTGTCAGGCTGATTCATAAAAACTCTAGCCTAATATTTGGCATTGAATGATAACGTTAAAAAATAATGCCTATGTTTTTCCACAATAACAGAAAGAACGTTGCATTTAAAATCTGCTTTTTTTACTCAGCTTTAAAGGTGCAGTGTGTGATTTTTAGCGATATCTAGCGGTTCGGTTGCGAGTTGCACTAAGGGTCAGCCCCCTGCTCACCCCTCCCTTTTGAAGAAGCTACGGTGGCTAAAACGGGACAAACATCATCGTCTGAGACAGCAGAGAATAGCCAAAGTAAGCCAAGAGTGTGTAACATTGTGAGTGTTTCTGTACCACAGTCCATTATAAACCAAAGTGTACAAAGCCATAGTCAGATTCTTAATATATAATATAACAATAGTAATCAGCTGATTGTCTCACAAACGTAAGCACATTTCTCCCCACATAGCAAACCCATAATACAGCGAAGGAGAAGAACCACACGAAACTATGCAACTATATATTTTTTTCTAACAGGGTAGTAAAAGTTTAGCTGGCTAAATATGAGCTGTTACTGTGGCCGAGATGAGCTGAGCGTAAAGCCTTGTTTAAACTCAACGTGTGCGCATGAGCGCAATGGTGCGCAGGGCAAAAATGATATGGTTGGGTTACACTTTATTTCGATAGTCACTTTAGGCGTTCTACTAATTATAAGTAACTTTTCAACTACATGTCAACTAACTCTCATTAGAGTATTAGTATATTATAGTAGACTGTCAGTAGACTGTTAAGGTTATGGTTGGGTGTTAGGCTTTGGGTTAGGAGAATAATTTGACTTGTAGTCGCCAAGTTACTTAAAGTCAGTTGAATGTCTGTTGGGGAACAAACAAAATAAAGTGTTTGCAGATATTAAGCTGACAGTCTACTAATACTCTAATGACAATAAGTTGACAAATTACTTATAGTTAGTAGAATGTCTAAAGTGGACAATCGAAATAAAGTGTTATGGTTGTCACAGCACGCGCGACTACAGACAATCGATTTTGAAAACTTTGTGATCGACTTAAAATGCTTCCAAGATCGACTTGTCGACTGCGATCGACGGGTTGGTGATTCCTCTAACATACGGTCAATGACAAGAGTACTAATCAGCTGTAGACGAACGCAACCAACACATTTATCCCAACATAGCAAAGCCATAACACAGCAAGGGAGAAGAACTAACTTGCATGAAATAATCCAATTACATATTTGACACCACTGACAAGGAAAAAGTCACTACTCACGGTGTTTATGGCGAGCTTCTAGGTTTCTTCAGCTTCTCTTTCAAGGTAGTGACGAAATGCGTGCTGTTTGTTCGCTGTCGGCTACGGTACAAACATGGTGAGACAATACAGTATGTCGACCTTCGTAAAAGGGGGGGCCTGTGGATATGTAGATAATAAAAACATTACAGTTTATTAAGTAAGTTCTTTATACACCACTGAAAAAGTAGTTATGTATGTCATATTGCATTTCTGTTAATAGAAAGTCAAAATTTTGACATATTGCACCTTTAAGCAGAGACGGTTATACATCAAATTTTAAAGGGAGACATCTGGCAGTGGACGGGCACAGACGGCGCTGGGCATGAGGAAGCTATTATGCCCGCTTCTGCTGTAGTCGATCTGTTATCAAACCCAATTTGTTGGGACAGATTGCACTGCTGGGATGTGCGACTGACCCCTGAGTCTTGTTTGGGTTGGTGTGTGTGTGTGTGTGTATAGTGGAATGGACAGGGTGTCCTCTGCTGCAGACTCATCATCACACACACGTACACACGCACTTACGCCACACCCATTCATCATTCTCTTTCTGCCGAGCGCCCCTTCACTACGGCGAGAAAGTAGCGGATTGAGTTGGTGCGCAGCACACGGGTCACGGTCTTATTCCGGTGAACGGAAGCGTGACCTGGCCGGCAAGAACAGCAATTTAGACAATGCACAACACAAATGAAAACAGGACTGCTCAGAGTGAGGCGAGTCTGACTCTCAAGCTCCCAACAGGGAAGCCGGTGCTAGTGTTGATCGGTGGGTTAATGTGAAACGCACTAATCTCTGAGCAGTGGTGTCTATATAGATAATACAGGCTTATATATAACTTTTAATCAGATTCTTTCTCAAGGCACTTCACTGACTCTTTTACCTACCCGTAGGCACTAACAAATGGTATGAACAGGTTTCGCAACTGGAATCCGACTATCTTTAATGTGGGCCTGTATCTCCAGGTAGTCCTCTTCTTTTTGTCTTGAGACGTCCAACCCTGAAAGGGGGATTAGAAGTTTTGTAGGCCATCACAAGCCCACAGGCATCAACAGAGAACTACAGAGACACCTGCTCAAAATTACACTTGTGTTCGTGCTTGTAACTTTTTAACCATGTGGTCTACAAATGAAATCCCTGGGCTTTATGGTTTATGCTACGTCCACATACATTTGAAAACGGGGTTTTCGTTTAAAAATGCTCTCCGTCCACACTAGCGTTTTCAGGCGTTTTCCGACGTTTCAGTGTGGATGAGAAACTTCTAAAGTCTAAATGCGTTTTCAAATTTATCCACTTTGGAGAGCGTTTTCCAAAAGATACGTTTTTGTTGACTTAAAACGGCGTCTCGGTGTGGACGGAAGGCCAAAACGGAGAGAAATATATATTAGTGTGGACATGACCTTAATGATTGATTCAACACAAAAACATAAGATTTGAACCGACCGGCTTTAAAATGTACCCAGCTGGCATTCGACTGACATTAAACGTTTAAATGCTGTTGAAATAATGTCAGTTTATGAAAAAACATGAATTCAGTGTCAAAACTACGTTGAACACCAAATAGTTGAAGTGGTGTTGTTAACTCACTATGGATTCAACTTAGAAATATTAACAATTTTTTAGTTGTACATCAAATCAATACTATTTGTAGGCTACAACCTCAAAATTCAATGGTTATCCAACACGGTCACCTGCGTTGATTCAACAGTGACTTGACGTTAAAATGGCAGCTGGGTATAGCCAACGCTATCTCCAATTTGTACGATTGATTAAAAAGAGGCTAATTCGTACAAATTCAGAGGCTAATTCGTACAAATTCATACGATTTATCTAAACCCACGTGATGGGTAGGTTTAAGGGGGGGTCTGGGGTAGGTCATTCGGACGAATTGTTACGAATTAGCCACCTCGTAAAATTCGTACGAATTGCCGTGAGATCGGGTTGTTATAGCTTAGTGGATTCCCTGTTCTACAGGCATGTTTATTTAGCTTCTGATCCAGACAGAGCTTGGCCCATAACAGCTTAGACATTTTGCCGAGAGAGTCGACGTAAGATCATTCAAATAATTTGTTTTTCATAGAAAGAATTTTGATAAAAGGCAAGTGAGGGAGACAGGTGGCATATTGAGTCTCACAGTGCAGAAGTATTTCCAGGATGAAGACAAAAACACATACAGTAAATGACAATAGAGTGAATGGAAGTGTGTGAATAGATTTCATTTGTCCTTCTCTAGTGTCCTCTAAGAAAATAATCATTCACATTATGGTCTCTGAAAATGTTTTCATCCTCAGATTATCGGACTGTGTTGGCTTTCTAGGACTTAACAAGGATGGTGGTGTCATAAATTCTTTTTAATTAAAAATATTTTATCTTTTTGACATTAATTAATTCTTGACTTTTGAACAACAAGCTATTTTCAAAACAGACCATAATTAAGTCATATTTTATTCCTTATCATAGCTTGCGGTAAATATAGTGTGGATTTCTGTCAAGAATAGACTATTTGGCTCTAACAACCTGATTGCTATCATTCATTCTCCCGATTAAAACCCCTGATTGAATGTCATACCGTGTTGATCACAGTAATACATCCTGATTGTAATCATGGTTTGGCGCTCTGTGAATAATCAACTGTATTCATTCAAAACCAACAGAGAGGGCTTTTTAATGCCGACACTTGTGGGAGATTTGGTTATAGATCTTTAAAATCCCAGTGGGCAATCCGTCGTCCAGGTCTCGGCAATCAACAAAAGATTTTTTTTTTTTTTTTTTAAATTAGAGGCATCTGATGTTTCACTGCAATCGTGTTGACTTGCATCTTGGGATAGACAGATGAATTGACGGATGACATCTATGATCGCCCTTTATGGAACTTTAACGCTTCAATTATTTTTCTCGATAATGGCCTCATCTCTATCCCGTTGATGAAGCGTGTCTGGCGAAACAAACCTGTTTTTTGAAGAGAGGGAATAAGCTGCCACTACAGAGACTCTGCAGTGCTGATGACCTAAATAGAGAGAGAGAAAAAAGAGAGGCAGAGAGAGAGAGAGAGCGGGGAATGGAAAGGAACAGCAATTAATTGAATACTTTACATTTTTGCATTAAAATTGCACTGTATAAGGTCGAAAATGACTTGAATAACAACAAGACCTACAATGCAAATTGGAACTTTCTTTTGTCACCAGACAATCAAAATCATTTGGATTTCATTCCGTAGCATAGATGGTTCTATTAGGTTTTTTTGGGGGGGATTTATTTCGCCTCAAGCATTAGCTCGCACTTTACACGGTCCAATAAGTCTGAAGCACAGAAAGAAAATTTATTGAATAAATAAATTATATACCCCAGCTTACTGAGACATCTGGGCCGTTTTCTGTCTTATGAAACAAGCTAAATCTTTTATACACCATCAAATGCTTTCACACTACCAGAGAGTGTATAAGGAGCAGATGATGGACCATACATGGGAGAAATGTCTCAATATGGCTGCTATAAGAACGAAAGTCTCATCTTAAAAGAGCAAATCATCTTTATAGATGCTAGATCGCATGTTTTTTTTAAAAAAAAATGTTACATTTTTAGCGCAATTTGAGATAAAAAGGCAAATTTGTGATTCAATTTTTAGATTCTAATTCCGATTTGACATATGTTACGGGAATGTAATCTTGACAAACTATTTTACAGTGTTTTCTTATTAAAGTTTGATAAATGCTGCATAGAAAATAGCTGCCTGTAGGCATTACCAAGATGGCCGCTAAGTGAGTTGAGGAACACTACAGTAGCCGCATTTCCATTACCCTTCAAATTGCGCGAATTAAAAATTGCTAATTGAAAACACGCCCAATGGAAACACGTCAACTTTGGAAAAAACGCCCATATATCGCAAAAAAGTTTTTACGCCTGTATGAGGTGGTTTTTCAGGCAACTCAGTCACAGGAATATGGATTCTAAACACAATTTATCAAAACCTTGAAGCAGAAACACCTCATATGTGCCACTCTCAAGTAAGGGGCGGTCCTTGCCATTAACGCTTGGATAACACACTCACGTCTCCTTTTGACTAGACTAATGTCTAGTGCAGTGGCTGGGATATACACAAACTTGCCGACATCTGTTGCCTTGATGTTTGGAATGACTTATCGCGATATGAAAAAATTACGTTTGTAGTCGAATAGCATCAGTTAAAAGTTTAAAAGTTAAAAGTCTGTAATGGAAATGAGGCTAGTGAAGTCTTTTTGTGCCATTATTCTTACACATTCTTAATACTATAAAAAGTTCTTGAAGATGAGAATTTTCATTCACATGTACTTAATTCAGAGCTCAGAACCCTCTTTTAAGACTTCACTTGACTTTGAATCAAAAATCATGCTGAAAAAAAACACAAGCCCTGACAAATAATGAATGGCTTTTTGTCTGTAGATTTGATGAGCTGTTGTCAAAGAGATGTTTTACGTGGTACACATAGCTTTTTGTTGGAGAGTATGGAGATATTCTGACACATTTTGAATTCATTTCCCTTGTCTTTAAAGATAATGTGCTATTTCGGTGACCAAATGGGAGAACATCTGGTGGAACAGAAACACATTAATTCTTTTAAAAATGATCTAATACAACACAGATTTATGTATCTAAATGAGTTTTCACAGAGCATTTAAAGTGCAGAATCTGCTTAGAGTACAGAACCGTAAACTAGGAATACAGCAACATTTCTGGGTTAATGTTAATGATAACATATCACACAGAAATGTAGGTTAGAGGATCAGACAGAGTCCAACCACCCTCATCTATACGAAAAGTGAGGAGAGCAACTCATTACTTATCAAATTATCTCTGCAGGCTTGTTTAATTTTGAACAACAGTGAGATATTTCAAAACAGGAATAGATAAATGGTCTTTAGAGAGTGTGGAATGAGCAGACGGTGAGGCTAATGGACCTTGTTAAAAGGAAAAATAAGAGAAAACAATCTAAAATGGAGCATGCAGCTACTATTTTATACATTCGCTAGTTTTTAAGGTTATGGTGAACCCCATGAGTCACGATGTTCCTCTGCTGCTTGAAAATATGATTGGAATTTATGCACTCAATTGACTTACAGTAATCCTAAACTAAACTGCTAGCCTATTAACGGCACTGAAGTCCCAAACAGCAGTTTTTCCAAACGTAAATCTTCCTTGGTGCTGCGTTAGCACTTTGCATACTGCACATTTAAATATTTACCTATGTTTATTCCCATAAGAGGCCTTCACAATTATAAAATTGTGAAAATCTGCTTGAAATGTGTGATAACTGATAAATGGCTGAAACAAACACAAACTAATATGAATCATTTGTACAAGTGAGTTTGTAGGTGTACAGTAAGAAAAATGGATATTCACTTTGAGATTTGTTATTAAATGATCCCTGTTTTAAAAGATTAACTTCTAGTGATTGTCAGGGGCCATTTACACGACACCATTTTAAACTTAAAATGTTCAACTTTTTATGCGTTTTGGCCGTTTATTCACACAAAAACTGCAAACAAAGTGCAAGTTTTTGAAAAACGATACAGATATCGTCTCTGTGTAAACTACAAAAAAAAACACAAATTTGTGAAAATGGTGACATCATGCGAAATACATATTCCAGTCTATAGGCGTGTAGTGTCTCTACATCGCCAACTACTGGCCTGGCAGCATAATACAGTGTTTTACAATCGTTTTCGCAGATCCCAACATGGGAAAAATGCAAATTCCATTTTTACAACACCATTGTTGTGCAAACTGCACCCTTAGATGAAAGCAAAGGCAATGTACATGCAAAAATAGGAGAAATAATCATTATTCATGAATGAACCATGGCAAACGCCACATCCAGATGTCACATATGGCTGGAGACATGAACAGGTGTCCCACCTGCAAAATTCAGCTTGGGCTGGACCTCTTCCCAATCTCATCCAATTTCCCAATATCGGCCAATATTGTGTATGTGTGCATACATTTTTTCAACAATATATCTTGCCATAACCAGGCCATCATTCTCAAAGGGGTTCTCGTCTGAGACAATTCGATTGTCCCTACTATTCTCTGGATAAAACCCTCAAGAGTACCCGATTTCAAGTACTGGACAGGCTGTTTTGACATAAATTTCAAACATAGTGGCTGGTTGAGGGTCTGTATTAAAGCAGTGTTGGGTCACTCATGGGATTTACCCATAATCCAGCCCAGACTGAGAATGACAGAAAATCACTGTAATCCGACAGCTACATGGCTAGGCTTAGAAAATGGTCTTAAGTGGCCTCTCTTCGTTTAGAGCTGACAAAAAAAAAAAAAAACACACAATCCAATTGTTTCTGTGGGCCCTGACATGCTTCTGTGTGATTTGACCCTGGCTGGACACGTAATTGCTTACAAAAGAATAACCAGCAGATTCTGGATGAGCATTTTATGTGAACATCATGAAAGGAAAACGCAATTGATGCAAGACTAGAAAAATCAAGACATGTTGTTTTAGAGTCTGCAGGAATTGCGGTTGTCAATCGCTCCCTGATCACTCGTAACGTATCCAATGGCACGTTCACATGGGCTTTGACATTAAGTGGATCAATTTCCTCCCCATTAAAAGAGCAGCAGAGAAAGCTGCCACGATCCTCCAATTACCGGCAGGCTGCCATCCTGTTCCGTGCGTCAGTTTCAGGGGGTTATTTTAACCTCTGCTCCAGCTCATGTCCTCCGGCCTGGCACCCTTTCAAAAACAGTCCCCCTGTGCGTGAATGTGACAAACAGTGACAGCTCTGCAGCGCTAGGACTGTTTAGGTGTCTTTGCCATGTATACACATGGCCGAATGCAAACACAAACAGCTGTCCCTGACAGACAGGCAAGCAACGGTGCCTCTGCATTATCGACTGGGACAAACAACGTCCTCTCCACTCCTCAGCAAGCTCTGACCTCACATCTCGAAGCCTGTGTTAGGGCTGGCACCAATCTCAAGTGCAAAGTGTTTAGAGAATGAGGTCAAGCAGCAAGACATGAACGCCATCTCTCAAATCCAGCTGTCGGATCTGTCGGCTTCTACCCATCAGCATGCGCGGACATCGTTTTGTAACATTTATATAAGTCTTTATATAAAGAAGTCTGAATATGAACCATAAAGGAACGTCTTGGGAATGGTGAAAATAAATAAAAAATGTTACTTATTCGCCCACATGTTGTTTCAAGCTTGCAGTTATTTTGACTAAACATCACAAAAATAGCACATTAGTGTTGGTGATTTATCAGTAACTCTTTCTCGAGGTTACATCATGACACAAGTAGGTGATTAATTCTGGAACTAAACAAGTGACAGTTTTTAGAAGTGAGTCATTAAATTATTTACTCAAATGATTCATTCAAAATCACTGCATCAGAAATCGCATAATCTCTTGAAGGTACTTATTTCGAACAAGTAATTAATTCACGACTGCTAAAAAAATAGTATGTTATATAGTATAATTGTGTGTTGTATGAATGTAATACATTGACGTACATTTGACATACTGTCATTATCATGTGATCTAGCAGTGTCAGTTCACTGTCATTCACAAATCCTCTCCCATGGCCTCATGGGATAGTAAAATGTCCATATATGCGCACTTAAGAATTTTGCCGGGGGTAATCATCTGCGTACATTTTGTCTAGTCTTTTAATGAGTACTGTGAATTCGGACTTCTTTTGTCACATACTGTTTTTCGGCTACTAAATAGTAGGGAAGTATGCAATTTCGGACGCAGTCGTTTTGTGTTGCTTGGAGATGCGAAACATCTCGTTCATTTGGCGGAGAAAACATAGACAAAGTATTGTCTCTAAAATATACGTTTCTTAAGAATAATTACGATTGTTTATAGTTGTTTAAACAAGTGATATAAATATATGCATTATGTTTCATGAAAATTTGAAATGTTAAGTAAATAATTAACTGTGAAGGCTATCACCTTCAAAATCTTTTGGACCCATTTCCTGAATTAAAAAAGTAGTTCACTTTTAGAAAAAAA